AGAGCAGCCGTGGTGTTATTTTCCAACTGTCTCGACGGACTGAAGATAGTTGTGGTTGTTTTTCCAGTTTCCCGACGGACCGTGGATTCTGTGGTTGTCAAGTTCCGGTTTTGAGTCTTCGTGGAAGATCTCAAGCCGTGGTTTGTGAAATTATTGTGGATAGAAATTATAAGTGTTAGGACATATTATAAGACCTTCGTATAAGCCAGAAGAAGTTATACCTACGACCCAAAATCACCACTCGCCAAATCTAAACGCCTCTATTCGACTAAGCCGATCGTAGGTTACACGACGTCTCGGATTGTCAAGCGACAGACTCGCCGTTTTACAGTTGTCACTAGGCAACAGCCCAAATGATCATTAACACAAATTACATATCTTATCTGGCATTTATATGATCATGTGAATTTTTTCTATGATATTTTTCGTATGAGGTTATGTAATTACTTATGCAAAAAATCACAAGGTTATATACATCTGCTGGATAATATCAATATTGAGCATACGACAGACAGACAACAGGAATTTTTTTTCATTAGAGTTTAATGTATCTCATGTGCTACTATGTAGTACATGGGGCGACATTAACTCTGATGAAAAAATTTCCTGTTATTTTTTCATTATCTGCCCAATTTTGTATACTTAACTGACCAATCAGGTTCATTTTATTCCAATACTAGTCTCAGAGCACGTCCTTACGTTCATGCTATAGGAATTATAAAGCAAAACTATAATAAATATGGTTATTATATGTCATTTGATACAAAATAATTTCAAATAGTACTATTTTCGGTGTCACGTATTAAAACAACTCATTTTGACCTGTGGATCTATAGTGTAGTGATTACCACTCCCGGGTCGCAATCACAAGGTCATGGATTCGAAACCAAATGAAGACAGCACTTAGCTAGAACGAGAGTTGGTGCTGAAACTCTTTTGCCAAATTAGAAAGTTTGGATTTCGGATTATAGATTCTGAAACCTTATCCAAAACTCAAAACCTTACCCGGAACCTTATTTGAAAATCAAAAATTACCAAACTTCCATAAACATTGAGTATACTAATGTATTATATCTCTTTCAATTATATATCAAGCGCACTGATGTATGCTATATATCTCTTAAATAAATATCAATAACACTGATGTATGTAATTATATCTCTTTAAAGAATTGAATAACCAAATTTATCTAACATGTCTTATGTGAACACTGAATGATTTTTGTATAAGTTATTAGGCCACCCAATACAAATACACAAATTTTCATCACCGTTTAAAGAGGGGATGAAAATTTGTGTATTTGTATTAGGGGGTGGCTGAATAACTTATACAAAAATCGTTTGATGTTTATGTCAAACATGTCAGATAACTTAGTTATCAGTTGAGTTTTAATGATTGATGACTGATTTTTCATAGTAAATATCCTGGTGAATAATCAGTTATCAATCAAAACACAACAGATAACTAGTACTTATCGGGTGACTGCGTGAAAAACAAGATTTTCTTATTCATGTTATTTTAAACGTTAGAATCTTAATGTATTACTCATTAGCATTATTTAATAAAAGCTAGTGGAACGCTTGATACTTAACGCTCGTATGGAAATTTTTAAAGATAACTAATTATCAAATTTACGTAACATGAATCAAGAAGAACGTCACGCGACGCCGATCTTTGCTTAAAGAGTTGTTGACATCGTACCGTTAAAACCCGATAATTAAAATCCTCGTTTTTTGACCTGCATTTAGCTTATTAGACGTCTACAAGTAAATTAAGTTGTGATAGATGACATAAAAACAAGTTGACACATACAGTTATTTATCTATATGCATATATTTATTTCTTTGTGACTTTGACAGATTGACGTAATAAAATAAATTGTATCTTTAAAGATGTTTGTCCTGTCACCTTCGGACAGTACTGTGCTTTTTTTTTTCCCACGTGCCCTCGGGCGCTTTTTCAAGTTGGTATACACATTACGATATGATGATTACTTAATTGGTTGACAATGTTAATTATCTCCTTTTATTATTTGTATAAATTATATATAAATACAGTTGGTTCTTTTTGAAAATAGATGGGGTAGTTCTGGTCTTCTTGTGGATGAAAAGAAGTTCGTAAAGAATTTAATATGGTTTCGAGTTAACATATTTTTTTTATATATTAACTAATAATCTTTTATGAAAATTAAAGGTTCTTACGTTGTCCAGAATTCATTTATAGATTTGGTTTAGAGGTTTGTTATAAAAATTTAATTATTTATGTAAATTTTGGTTAATTTTTTGTTAAAAAAAAAATAAAAAAATTACGGTTGATAAACTTCAGCCATACCTTTCCCTCTAAGAATCATTATTTTTGTATTGACTTAAAGAACTGAGTTCGCCAGGGCGACACCTCAAAGTTCGAGTTGATGATCGATAACACTGCCGCAGCATATAATAAATATTCACACCGTTGTCAATCTAGATTACTTTTAAAAAACTCTGATCGGGAAATTAGTTCCTATATACAGTCGCACTTCCCATATAAGCACTTTCTATACAAGCACATCATCTTTATAAGCACCTATATTTCTTGAACCAACTGCAGAGAGACCTCTCATAATGCACCCTAAATGTACCACCTTTCAAAATGCACTTTCAACTACTGGCCCGAGCATATACATGACTCCCATAACCACAATATTTTCTTAAATGCACATTGTTAAAAGTTTGGTCCTTATGGTGTGCATTTAGAGAGACCTCTCTGTACTATTAAATATATAAAAATTACTCTCTACATAAGCACATTTTCTATATAAGTCCACTTTTTATCTGTTCCGATGGTGTGATTATATGGGAATTCGACTGTACTTGTTCGTTCGTGTAGTAGTGACGGTGGTCATCAGCCCGAACTTCAGGGGAACCGCTCTGGCAAATTCTTAAGAACTTATCTTTTTTATTTATTATCATTCTTTTAAAATTCTTTCAAGCTTCACCCTCTAGATAACATAATAACGTTATGGCGGAAAAAAGAAAAAGAAAAGAAACAGCATGCGAATTCTGTCGCGGTCAAAAAAAAAGGTGTGAAGGAGGAATAATCGGTGAGGACCCCTGCGAGAATTGCGGTCGGAAAGGAAAAAGTTGTTCTTACTTAGAAAATTCTTCAAAAAGTAAGTGAATTGCCTTTTAATTTTTAACATTTGCAAAACATCTTGTGACGTCTTTAGTTTAGTACCCAGCCATCTCAGTTTGTTAACTAATTACAAGAGGTTATTTAAAATCCAATCTAAAAGATATATGTTACAATATTTAAATAATCCATTTTGCTATAATATGTCAAACTGCTCAAGTTTTCTTTGTGCTCAGCATGTTCAGTAATCTTGGAACTCACTACTTTACATGAAATATAGGTGATCCATCATCTCATAATTATGTCTTGCAACTGCAAACCAATAAATCACCAGAATTTCTAAGCGCTGGAGATATTTCACAAATGCGATCCGATTATCATGACTTCGGTGGGCCACTAGAAGTTGCAAATGTGGATGGTGATATCTTACAAACGCAAGTCGATGAGTCATCAGAAACTACCAATGTGGGTGGTGATATCTTACAAACGCGGGCCGATTTTGATGGTACAAATGTGGATGGCGATATCTTACAAACCGACTTCGATGGGTTACTAGAAGTCACAAATGTGGATAGTGATAACTTACAAACGCAAGCCAATCTCTATAAGTCACCAGGATTAGCAAGTATTGATATCGATGTCTCTCAATTCCGAAATGGGTTCGAACTTACAAATACGGACGGTGAGAAAAAATTAATTTTCCAGATAATATATATAATAATATAATTATGTTAAAACTTACTGTATGTTCCTAATATGAAATTCAGGCAATCAATCTGAAATATCTCTAGAGTATGTTAATAGTCTTCATAAGACCAACATTCATCAAGGTAGTTTTGGGTTGCAAATTATTTCTTATTTAGTTACAATTACAGTCAGACCTCCCTAAATGCATATTCTCTAAATGCATAGTCTCTCTAAATGCATGGCCTTGTTTGGCCCCAACTCATATGACACAGATTTTTACCTCCCTAAATGCAATACCTCTCTAAATGCAAGATTTCTTGGCCGCCCGAGGCTATGCATTTAGAGAGGTCTGACTGTATAACGGTTAATGATCTTGTGTACTAATATTGATATTTTATTAATATTATAAAATATTGTTGACTATTACATTACTTATCACTTTTTTAAAGTGATGATCAATAATGATATTTGTAAAGGTATGATAAATAATTAATTCTTTACTATAAGATATATGTATGTCTTAATATGTGCTTACCTTAAATATTTTATCTCTGTATATGATTTTGGCATTAGCATCACAAGTCATTCAACAATTAAGCTGTTTAAATTTAATTTTATCGAAGAATCAAAATATGCAATCTCAAATGCTTTGGGGTATTAGAATACGTTTATCTGGTTGCATTTTTTACATCAAATCTCATGTATATATTTATTTTACTCCTATGCGTAAAGCAGAACGTCTTGATAATCTACATACGACCTTAGATTCATACTCCTCCTACTTTGGTCAATTATTAGGTGAGTCATTAATCGAACCAACAATATAACAGTTGAAATTTGGATTAAGCAAATTGAGGATTTTCAAATCTCTTGACGTTATTTACAGCTGAGAGGGAAGGGTATTTTGACGAATTGTGATATCTCGTGATCTAGTAATCGGAATTGGGCGAAACCTATACCATTCGATTCTTCTCATCGAGTGGAAACGAATGGCATGCGTAGATTTCATTCGATTCCGACCACTGACTCACGAGATATTAAAATTAATGCAGTTTTATATTTTTTTACAATTCTTTAAATAAATAATTTTTTCATGATTCTGCAATACATAGAATAATTTTTCATACCAATAGATTTATTTCATCGAGAGGAGTCGATTGGTATAAGAATCGCTCGATCCTGATCACAGAGCACGAGAAATTCGTATTTAAAATTAAAGTGTATAGAAAATTGTAATAAAGAGGATATCATGACGAATCATGATATATCGTGACTTTGGGATCAGAGTTTGACGATTTTTATACCATCCGATCCTCTCGATAAGAGGAATTGAATATATAAGTTTCATTCGATTCTGATAACGGAATCACGAGATATCACAATCGTCACAATCCCCCTGATAACAAACTCTTATTTTTA